AAAGTAATTTAAGTTTTTGATAGATTTATATTAGAAAAAAAAATTTATTTTAGAAAGAATTAATTTTTTCATTAAATATTGGATAACTATTTGCAATATATATATATTTATTTATGAATTCTGCATCATGACAAACTTTAGAAAGTGAAAGGAAAGATTTAAGTCTTTTTTTAAGCGGCGCACACATATGTGGACATAAATTGCATCATCAACGGGAAAACAAATGCACGATGTAGACATAGAAGTTGGTAACTCGCCAGACTGCATAACGATACGATATATTTAGACTAACTGTATTTTTATGATAGCTGTCGCTATGCAGAATTATTGAAGAAAGGTGCGAGGTGAAAGAATTATTAAAACTACTTTCTAGTGAAACTCGAAATAGCTCTCGCTACTGATATAAAATAAATGATGTTCACAACTGCCAGAATTGAAGGAAATGTGTATTAATTTTTTATTATTATATGTAGAAAAATTCAAAATACAAAGTCTTTATGAGATGTATAAGTTTATCTTTTTCTTTTTAGAAATTTTCAGAAATTTTGCAATGCTATTACATTTTATAATTGTTGTACTATAACATGGCAAAAATGAGTATTTTCTTATGTAAAAAATTATAATCAGTAAAAAATGATAAATGATTTTGATAAAATGTATATACAGAAAAAATGTAAAATAATATATACACTAGAATTCTAGTAAATTTTATGAAATTGAAGAATGTATACGGACGGAGAAAAATGTAAAGTAATATATACACTAGATGTCTAGTAAATTTTATAAAATTGACAGAAATTCCATATAAGGATAGCCCCTATTTATGTAAAATTTATTTTACTTTTCTAGTAAATGAGCAATCATCGTATATCTATATTGTAAGGTACTTTTTATATTTTTTGTTCATAAAAATAAATCTATAAATTTATTATACATCTCAACCGAATTTACTTTATCGATAAGTTTTTTTTACCTTAGAATTATTTTTCTGCGTGTAACACTGACAATGAATTATTTCCGGTCTTGCTTCTACAGAGTGTCTCACAACGATCGCATTTCCTCTTAAGGACATATTCTTGAAGTAGTTTTGAAATAAAAATCCTAATACGAAAATGTCGAGATTACAATAATTTTTTAAATTATAAGCTAACTTTAAATGCTATAAGTTAAAATCCATTTTACTTTTATAGCCTCTATTATTTCTGGATTCTTTTGAAAACATTCTAAGACGAAAATCCTAATACGAAAATATCGAAGATATAAAAGTTAATACGAAAAGTTCGAAGATATATAGTTTTCGAATTATACACTATCTTTAACCAATTATAATTAAAAAATTATTGTAGCCTCGCCATTTTTGTATTAGGATTTTCGTCTCAAAAATAAGTTCTTAATAGGAAATGCAGTAGTTGTGATACACCCTGTATATATACAGAAAAACTGCAAGAAACAAAAATCATTTATTTTCTTCTCATAAAGTTTTGAGAATTTTTTCAGAATTTCTTCAAAATTTTTTAATACCGTTTTTTTCATAGTAAAAATAAGAAAATGCAATCCTAAAAAGTTAATAAAAAATTCTTAAAAAATTTGTAGAGTTCTATGCGAAGAAAATAAATAATTTTTATCTCTTGCAGTTTTTCCGTAAAGTTGATAGTATTTGAGTAAAAAATTATTGAAGACCAATTTTCGGCAATTTTTTTTGCAATTAATATCTAATTAAATATTGCTAAAATCGTAAAATAATAGAGGACTTTTCTTCTCAGTTTAGTCTATTCTGTCCCTATTTATCATTATTTTTCAAACACCCTGTGTATATAATTTTATGTATAGTATACAGAGAAAAATATTTGATTGAATTAACTGGAATTCTGGTGGAAAATGAAGAATTCAGAATTCTAGTTAAATCTATTACACTTCTAGTTAAATCTACTAGAATTCTAGTAGATTTAAACAGAATTCTGAATCGTTTATTTCCACTCCAGTTAATTTAATCAAACATTTTTTTCCGTGTAGTAATCGTGTAATTAATTAATAATAATTTTACTTGTGTTAATTAAAAGTTCAGTAATAATTTTTATTGTATTCTGCCTTTTAGCATCTCTGCTTTCAAATAAATTAATTTAATTTAATGTTTTATCTAACTTAATATTAAATTAGATAGAATATTTAATATTTAATATTTAATATTTAATATTAAATTGGATAATATTTAATATATATATTAAAAGAATATTTAATATTAAATTTGATAATATTAAATTTCACAGAGAAAATACATATGTATCCTCTATGATTTAATAGTTTATATTTAAATTATTAGTTTAATACATTACCAAATAAATTAGTTAAAATTGGATTAAGCCAATGATAACTTTCCGAAAATAAATCTATCAAATTTTCTAAGAGGGGATTGATGAGATTGAGAGCGCTTTAAATTATTGATCTTGTAACGAGCATGCCCTATTATTTATCATAATAATACATACTTATATATACAGTGCCTATTACTATATTTGATGCTGTATATACACAACTGTACGTGGAAAAATTCTTCCGACTCTTTATAAAAATGATATAATATTATATAGTTATGTAATATTATTACATTATGCGCTTTTTAAATAAATGTAATGAAAATCTTAAAATTCTACATTTAAATAAATTTGACAGCGTAATATGTTTCCTACTTTATTATATAGTATCTTCGAATAAAAAAAATGTATTTAATACTTTACGTATACCATAGATATTCTTATATATATATGTACACACACACGCGCGCGCGCGCGCGCGCACACACACATGTATAAGAATAACTTCATATACGTAAAATATTAAATGCCTTTTTTTTATCGAAATATGTTTTATCGAAATATATTTTTTTGATAATTTTGTTATTTTCAGTTTACTTTATAATAAAATATTTCTTTATTGCCTCTATTGGAGTTTAAATGTTATATATTTGTTAATATATATAATTATGTTATAGTAATACAATATATTCATATATTGAAATTGACATAATGACATAGAATGGAATAATAAACTTGTATTTTATTATTATAAACACACAAAACTAGTATCTATGTTTATTCGTAATAATGAAGATATTTAATTGACGTAAAATCTAAATTTAAAAAATAAAATACATATTTTAGCACATAAGATATTTTATTTTCTCTTAATAGAAAAATTTAAGGAAAATTGCTCCAACTTATTGTTCGGATTCGACTACATTTATCGAGACATTCACGTTGCAAAAAAAAAAAGAGATTTCTTTTAAAAAAGATCTTATTTAATAATTACTATTATCTTACATACTCACGCATAGTGAGTCACACGTGTGGCAACCGCGTATAATAATGTCGAAGTCATGACAGAGAATATAAGAATTTTGATGGTAATATAAAGACAAGACTTGTCATTGATATTTGTTATTTGTCGTTGAATAGCAATCGGATAAATCGCGTACGACAATAGTGACGACGAAATGTCAGTCAAGGTTAAAGGTCGTTATAGATAGATTGAGTATAAAATTTCAGATATTCCTCGAGGCAATGCGAAACGATCGATACCTAGAAAGGTACGTAAGGGCATGTATCATGGATACACAATTTTTTCCGTCATAAAAACGAAATAACTCACCTAATTGTAAATGATGTGGAAGCTGCGGGAACGCCTGTTACAATTCACCTGATGGTTGGAGTGTGACTGAGAAAGGCTACGCCAGCTGTTGTCGGTTTCAGTCTGATTGTGTGTTATGGCGCGCGTGCGCTCTAACGCTTGTATATAAGAGTGCTCAACTTTACAACATTGTCAAAGACAGGATGGAAATTAACCGATTGGTTTTCGCCATATAACTTTAAATCAAAAAGTGAACGTAATAAATCTGTGTGTAAAATCCAATGTAACAGTAAGTTGAAAAATTTATACAGACAAATATGTAATATAAAACATAATTCAATTATTATTTTGACTGCATTATTATTATTATTATTATTATTATTATTATTATTGAATGTTTATCAAAGATCGCTGATAGAATATAGCACCGAATAATATTTATTTCATAAATCATGATTATCTTCGATTAGAAATATTATTTTATGAATAAGAGTTTAGTGTTTGAGCAATTTTCTTGAACTGTGAGGGACCGCTATACTATTTTGCACTTCGCAGCACATATCTATTACGTTCCTGGCGTACCACGTGGTAATGAGTTATCCAGAAACCAGGAAGGAGGACGTTACAGCATCGTCACTAAGCCGAGGATAGATGACGACATATCGATCAGTAGACGGGTAAATCCACAAATGTGTGTTGCATTGAGAACCGTTATTTTAGAGGTCAGTCAAGGGCACCTTGCTTAACATTTTTCTCGAAACTGATGAAATTTTTTAAGCAGTGTTAAAGGTTGAAATATTCGTATGATTACAAATATTGTCAAACATACATGTCTCTTTTTTTCTTAATCACCAAATTGTCTTATCATGCGCGTGATAGTATGTAGTAAGTTTATTGCTTAAGTGGACTCGACCCATCACTTTGGTTCTTATCTAATCAAGTGATATTTTTTTGGATTTTTTCCATTAATGTCTCCAATTTTTCATATTACACATGTCTATATGATGTGTTCAAAATTTTGTATATTGTCAAGTATATAAAAATGTACTGACGATAATGAATGCGCTGATAGACGTATTTATAATCTACCCGTCTTTGATATATGGGATTTAATAAAGGTTATACTATTCTCTAAAACTTTAGATAGAATCTTATTTTTTTAAATTGAAAATTGAGCCGTTCTTTTTCTGGCTCAATTTTCATTCTAGAGTGAAAGTCTACTCCAAAGAATTTCGAGAGTATATATGCAAGAAACTCTCTCTATATTAAGAAAAAATTTTTTCGTAGACATCTTTAGTAACAATATTATAAAAACAACTAAGAGCTAGTGCACAGTTATTATTAATGTACGTTACAATTCTTCTTTATTCTTCATCTGTACATATATTTTCGACGTTTCTGAAAAAATGCAGTGAACATCATAAATATATGTACAGGTGAAGAATAAAAAAGAATTTTAACGTACATTAATAATAACTGTATACTAGTTCTTAGTTGCCTATTATTTTGTAATATTGTTTTTAATATTTAATTTAATTTAATTTAATTTAGTTTATTGCAAAACTATATAAAAAATATTACATGTTAATATATTGAGAGCTCGATTAATTTATACTATTATCTTTAGTATTATATGTGTTCTCAATAATTTATTGTTATTTATAATGAAATTTCATATATTAGGTGTACAAA